AATGACAATCAAAGAATTATAGTTAGAATACAACAGTTGTCCTAAAAATTCATATATAATTCAATGTAACCTTCATTCGAATATTTAAGCTCAAAACGAGAACAGCTTCGTTCCTTAATGACCTGTTTAGCTTTGCTCGGAATGGTAAAAAGTACACGGATTTATTTTCATGACGTATTTAAATATTTATGGTACCTATCATTTGCCTACGCCGCTTCACCTCGCTATCTTAAAAACTGCTAGAGATTTTTTTGAATTTCTTTAATATGATAAAAAATGCACGAAATTACGAGCTATAAACGTGTATATTGGTCAATTTCAAAAAAACATCGACGATTTTAATACGACATTTCCATACAAATGCGCTTTGAAAAGATCGGCACTCCGCATAGCGTCTCGTGGCGGATGAGATTTAGCCCCGTGCAAAACATACAATCATACCGAGCGATAATAAATACTCACTTTAAAAGTATTGAATTAATTCCATGTACCTAATTATATAAAAATCAATAGGTATAACGCGAGTCACAACGTGAACTATAGCTTGTAAAAAGACTTAGAATTTCGAATGAATTATGAGAATCCCAAAATAATTTTATGCTTCTTGGTTAGAAATCGGCATTTTAGAAAAGATTACAAATTCAAAAAACTGCACTTTCTGAATGTAAACACAGCAGAATAATTTACAAATTACGACTGTTATTATTTTATAATGCATCGTGTTTCATTTGTTTAATTTTCCAAGGCCTACCTAAAAAGTGTAGGGTCCTTTTCCAAACAATCTTTTGCGCCATCGACAAATACCGGAAATACGTCAAATAAGATACAATTTAAGCATTTTTATTAATTAATTAATTAATCTCATTTTCCCAATATTTGAGGTTAGGAACGAGATTTTGAAAAACGGTTTTCACTGGCCTCTTTGGGTGTTATTTGGCTACTTTTTCATAAAGAAAAAGTCATATCATTCCATTTGATTTTTTAGGATTTTGGATCATAGTGTCAAAACTAGCCCCCTGACGGAGAAGGATTCTACTAAATT